CCCGGGGTACCTAACCGTGGGTAACGGCGGCGATCTGCTCATGACACTGGAGAAGCCCACTGTGCGTTGGTACATTGACTACGTGAACACTGAGTCTTTCCGTCTGAGTCACAATGGCTTGTACATGGTTGCAGGGGAACTGGAGCTCGGTACTGACGGTGACAACATTTTGATAGATATTACGAGTGAGCTGTGGTCGGCCTGGTATTTTTCCGGGGATTATATCGTGAGCAGCGTGAACGATTATATTCTTGTGGACTACTCTTCGTTTGGTATTGTCAAGTTGATGGTGCAGGGGAAATTCGAAGTATACGAGGATCAGAAGTGGACATTCACAGATTGTGAGTACTAGGTTGTTTTAGGGTTTAGGGTTTTGTATTTTTCGGAATATGTCATCACCCAAATCAATAAAACTTTTATAGTATTGATACTCGTCAATCATCGCAGTGACATATTGCCTTGTGTCGATATTAACCCATTAACCCCCCAAAAAAACCGGTGGTTTTACGGTGGAGCACGAGTACGAGTGCCACAAAACCCCTAAACCCTAACCCCAAAACCCCGAGTAACGTGCTGGTGAAATATTTGGGGATAAATGGCGCTCATGTATACCGGTCCACGATTCAGTCGCGTGTGGTGAACCAGTGTCTCCGAATGTGTATTGAAACATAAATATTTATAAACCCTACAAAACCGGGGGTCGTGAAAAGTATATAAGAGGCACACCCACCTCCACAATCTCATTCACAACTTACTCACTTTAAACACACACCCCCAAACTCACACTCTGGAACAATGACCGAATACTCCGACCACGAAACGCACGGCTGTGTTTGTTATACTCACACCAAAATGACGCTTGCCATGAAGCGCCTACATCCCGTGTACAAACATCGACAGCTCGCCTTGACCGTGGTGTTGCAAATGGAGGTCGCGTCCCCGTGCCCCTGGACCCTCATGGATGTTTTACTGGCCGACGCGGGTGCCTGCGACTTGGATATGGATGCCGGCCTGGTGGATCTCATATCACGCAGCATTGCCCGTCTCGTGGACGGCGTCGCTGTCACGCCAATGATGGTGTTTGTGTTGGCGGACATTGTAGCCCACCACGCCGGTAGATTTGGACCCGACGATTTCGACGCCCTGTTTCATATGCTCGACTGTGGGAAAAACACGATCGACGCGGATCGTGTGGAGCGGACTATTAACAATCTTGAGCAAAATCAATAAAATCTTTCCGGACGCGGATTACTTTTATAGTATTGATACTCGTCAATCATCGCAGTGACATATTGCCTTGTGTCGTCGTATAACTGCAAGTAATCGACGTTTTCTTTAGACCACTCGATATGTTGTTTATCAGTAGCCAGAACAAAGTCATGCGAGTCAATGTCGGGGAGCGATTTCAGTGACTCGACGTGTTCCTCTAACAATTTGTCGGGGAATTCTGCTGTATAAACACGCATCGCAAAGCCCAAGTGGTCTTCGTCGTGTTCGTAGTGAAACTTTGTTCCCGGGGGCACCACAACTTCCGATAATTCCGAGAAAGTCGCGTCAACCAAAATTGGGGTGCCCGCCGGAATTGTCACGGACATTAAGCAACATTTCTTTTCATTATCAGCAAACATTTCCATAAATTTGCGACTAGTTTCAAATGTAAAGGATTTGAACGATGTGTACAGCTTATTATTAGACAAGCCCGGGGAATCGAACTCGGGGCTTACCGATTACAATTCAACGCTCTGACCACTGTGCTATCCAGCCTGTTGCCACATATATCATTTTGATATATTGAACTTACAACTGTCCATCAAACAGAAATTCTACTATTTGTTGCTACTTGCAAGAGTCTGCAATGTCCCATTACATTTATGACTCTTGCAACTTCTCAATGCTGATATATATACAAACGAATGCACACAATATCATAGCAATCATTGAGTATCTTTGTACATTAGCTGGTAGATCAATATATGACCTGAATAGTAAATACACGTGTAAGGCACACAAAGTGCATGTACACAACAAACGAACTTTGGTCGTCGCAAGCCGTCTATGTGTCTTTTTAAAGTAACTTCGTGTGTCACATCATTTAATTAATCTAGAATACTATGTTTATCGCATTGATTGTCAAATGTGTCTGGATACACTTGCGCTCTTCACATTGAGATATCACAGAACATCAGTTGTTCCCAACATAAGCGACAGTGATAATGGTTTCTTTCAGGTATTCGCAGAGGAATCATTGGCTCGTTGACAACACCCACTAGGTAAGCTTGCATATTGAAATAATTACTCAACTATGTGCCTCACGCATCCTGGAAGCGCGACCGGGCTACCAAAACGTGCGATTACAAAAACTCTTACTGATTTTGCACACGGCCACATAAAACCGCTAAATTGTCAGGTAGGTTCGGATACTGATCGTATAAACAATATCGCTACAACGCCTAGATGCGCAGAGATGAGTCGATGCCTCTTTTTGAGATGAATTTTCATCGACATTAGCTGAATACTATACAGTATGTGCTATAAAGCTATCTCGTCGTTTAGGTCATCAACTCACGAAGGAACAAATCGATGGTTTTAAACGACGTATTAAAGAGTAAGTTTTACATTCGTCGCGTTCAGATTTATTAAAAGCGATGGTAACAGTGAAACAAAATTGATTGTTTAAATTGAATGTTGGATATTAATGTATATCAATCTGCAGGTCTGCATTCGGAGTAGATTTTCAGCGCATCTCCCCGATTTTCAAACGATGAGTTGTAGTAACCCCTTAATTGGTGCCATCAGAACGTCGCCGGCATTCCAAGCTGAGATCGCACTTCATAGTGGTATAGTTGTACATCATCGACTAAGTGTGGCCCCCTCACGACCGTCATCCAACATGCTCGTAACCCTTATCATCAGTACTTTAGCATCTATATCGATGAATGCCCTCGTGATTTGCCAGACGCACCAGTAGTCTGTCTCGTCTGCCCAATTGACTATATATCGCCATCATCGAATTAAAAAAACTCTGAAGTCGTTTCTAGACCGCCGAGTACTGATCAGCCTCTGACAAATGCATGTAAGCCGTACGAGGTGGTGTTAAGCGGTACATAGCGGTACAAAGTTGAGACTTTGATGGATCCCATAGCCAAGCGTTGTATTCAATATTGACTGACTTAATGAGCGCGTTGAAGGACAGGTGCTGACTCCTTTTCTTATCTGATTCGGCATGTCATACGCACATAGTTCTATGACACTTTCATGAATGTTCTATATGTTATATGAGCATACTGCGTCTAGGTCGGTCATCGTTTAACGGGTACAACTTCTTCGCGAAGGTACCTCTGGCACAACTAGCCAGCTATAGACGCTGGCGAGTAACGATGGCGCAACGACAATCTTTAGCCGAACTCTAATTTAAATCCTCGTGATAAAATGACCTATTGAATCGTTCGCAGGCTCCTATGTCGCGGATATGCCATTCCTCATTATTTCCCAGATATTCAATATCTCGATACGGTTTCCCCTGACCTTAAGCAGCAGCCTTTAGCTGTCTACGTCTCTGAATGAACGTGCCGATATTCCACTCCTCATGCGGCGTGTTGACGTACTCGCCGTTGAATACACACAGTACAGTAATACGTCTGTTGTACTTCAGATCGGCCAGTAGCTTGGGTGTAATGAGGAAGTACTGTGATGAGCCCTCACTAGTAGCTTCATCTGCGATGGTGCCGAACACCGCACGTTCGTTGTTGGGATCCATTCCTTGATTGATCTGTGGGATGTTTTCAAGCGAGTATGAGATTTATGCAGCTGATTTGTGACCAATAAGAAATACATCTACAGAGGTATTCAGTTGATCAGTGAGTTGTAACCAATGAGATTGTGATGTAGGATGTCAAGTGGTCGATTCCAGCGAATTTTGAACAAAGCAGGACTGGCATTAAATCAAATATCAAGCTTGTAAAACGTGAACTTCTCCTGAAAGCTATCGTGAGTGGAAGTAGATCATAATCTCGCATTATATATATATAATATATATATTATAAGTATATATATATATATATATTATAAGTATATATATATATATATATATATATATATATATATATATATATATATATATATATATATAT